ATCTGCTAAAACCACCCTTTGGTGCTATTTTGCCGAAAATGAGTTTTTGGCGGGAAGTTGGTCCCTGGCCATTGCCCAAACATAATGGTGAAGTATTAGGCTCAAATTGTATATATTCATTTGAAATATGACCCACCTTATGAAAGCTTTTGGTGCATAAAAATGCCGAAAATAATTGATATTCACACTATATTTCGTATCTGAGGCTTCATACACCTGTCATACACCTGTCTGTGTAGAGAGAAAAACTATTTTGCACAGTTATCCAGTATTCTACTATGTATGTTCCGAACAAATAATTAGGACATTAGCTCTGCTTGGTCTGGTGCTGGGCAGGTGATATCTCCGCTCTCTGGGTGGCAGTGCTGACGAATCTGTTGGTGCAAGTACTTTGCACGTTGCCGTGAGATTCCAGCCGTCTGGAGCGTCACTGGCAGATGATCAGATGCCAGGCAGTAATACACTTTTGATAAAGGTCACGAGCCACGTTAGCTTCTTCAATATGAGCTTTGAGTGCGTCAGTGTGCTTTAAGCGAGTTTCTGCCGTTCTTGCCCTTATGATCTGAGACTGCAGATCGGAACACCGCACACATTTTCTTTTGGTCTCATAATTATCACATCACTGCACTCACTGCTCCATATCTTCAAGAATGTTGTGTATGCTGCTGTTCCTCCAGTTGGTAGTAGCACATGGCAGGTAAGTACTATTAGTTGGAGCTGGCCTCTGGGGGCAACAGGCTGGGGAAGTCCGTTGATGTCACCATAGTGGTGGATGAACTGCCTGATGTCAGACACTTCATCTGCAGGCAGTGCATTCCAGGGCAAAGAACCCTCACGTGTGTGCTGAGGGGGAGCTACAGCATGCTCATGGACATCCGCCTTATTTGTTTTAGCTTCCACTCCTTTACATAATGTGCGTACATGAAAACAGTCTGGCACACTTCGTCACCATCCACTTCATAACGATCAGTGGATCGGGACCTTTCTCCGCGCTGCATCCCTTGGCCCTTGTGCAATGCTTCCATGGTGAGAAGTAACTGCACCGCGTCGTCTCAACACATCGAGCTTTCCAGCGACGTAACAGTACAGCTCGTCGCTCGTCATTGCGAGCGCTGTGTACGTGTGCGTGCAGTGAGTAGAGTATCCGGTGACACGTTCTTGAAACAGTTGACACCGGCACAACTGCAGCCCTTGTCCACTCGCGCCTGTACCTCTTCAACAGTACTGGGCGCTGCCTGGCCACGGGATTTCTTAGGTTGGCCCTGTCCTCGGGCGGCGAGGGCTTGTGCTGGCTGTAGCGCTGGCGCCTCGTCCAAATTCTGCTCCGCATCGATCGCAAGCGCGATCGGCAGGGTCACGAGCGGAGAGCCGTCGGTCGATTCGTCATCGCTCTGGTCGTCAGAATCTTGATCTGACCACCCGAAGAACGATCTATCGTCATTTAGCAGTGCTGACGACACCGCTGCCGAGAATCCGACAACAATTTGTGCCAACGAGCGCCTTCGTCCTCCTTCCGCCATGACTGTCACCTGCGAGCATGCGATGATGAGAAAATCGAGACGTTCTGACGTTTTCATCATTTTCTCCGAAAAATTACACAGCACGGAAGGGTGGTTTTAGCAGATCGGGTAAATTAAATTTCAATTTACTAATAGTAGTATCTGCAAAGCCGTGTCACTTTGTTTTGGCGCTGTGCAGATGTGTTTGGGCTGGTATACAGGTATAGGGGTGGAGAGTTCTGCGACAAGAGTGCCGGAAAGCAGCCGCCGGGATCTCCTTCGAGAGCTGAGTCTACTGGCAGTAGATCTACTGGCCTCCACTTCGTGTCTGCTGTACTGTACTCTGTAGATTACTACTGTAGTATTCCGCAAACCTGTGCAGTGCACTAACTGCGACTCATAAAAGATTTTTGTAGGCACAGCGTATCGACTAGTGCCAGTACGGCAGTAGTACTAGTGGTTAGGGACGTGTATTCAAAGTGAAGTAATAATAATTATAAGGTTCGCACATCCTGTAGCGGTCAGGAAATCACGTCGTAATAGTAGACTACCACTCGCTATTCGCCGGAGTTGGTGCTCGCTAGTATGGAACGGACGGGGGCAGCGGCAGCTCCGACATGTCGACAGTAACAAGTGCAGCGGAAGCAACGTCAACGGTAAATACGCGAACGCCAGACGATCTCGAGAGCTGCATGCACGGATGAATACTTCGAGCAAGTCCGCGACTTCTGTCCATGTGCGAGTGACGTCGAACGAGCCAAAGCTGCCTTCCGGTCCTGCAAACCTAACCCTGACACTGTCGAAGCAAGGTGGATCCACGATGTCAAGGATCGAGGTGACGTGATCTATAAAGTAGGCAGGAAAATGATCGTCATTGTCGCGCCCAAGGGCTCAACCGGCCCTGAAACTGCTAAAACGGTGATGAAGTTGCACAAAGTCAGTTCTACAGCAGATCGTTTCAACAGCAAACAGCTCTACCAGGAGCTGCTGATACATATGTACGTGCAGAAGCGCGAGGCAGAACTTCGGAAGGACAAACCGAAACGGCTGATTGTGGCGTGCAAGCCGTACTGGTACACGTTCAGCTCGTGCCGAGGATTCGAACTGGAGTACTTCCCGGAGGGCACGCTCCAGGAGCTGTCCTGTGACCGGGTGCAGGACGGCGAGCGGTTGCGTTTGCTGCGCGATGCCGCCCGCGGTCTCCACTTTCTCAACCGCCTGGGCATCGTCCACTTCGACGTGAAGCCGTCAAACATCTGCGTTGTCGTTGGCGCTGGCGGTGCACGGAGCACAAAGCTGATTGACCTGGGCTCCGCTAAATTCACCGGCCAGATGGTGGACCGGCGTCGGAAACTCGGGGACACGCGTGCGTACAGACCTCCCGAATTCTTCCCTACAACTCCTGGAGCGGGGAACGGCGATGGCGGCACGGAGAATTGGGTTGCAGTTAGCCCGTCGGCAGATTCCTGGCGGTTCGGAATGTGCGTGTTGGAGGTGATGACGAGGACCAGCCGTCCACTGTGGAAAAGAGCAGAAGCCGGGGACCGTGCCTGCGACGCATTTATGATGAATGGCGGGCTCTTGGGCAAATATCCTCCGACATTTCCTGGACTGTGCACGTCAAAGCAGCAGGAATTTGCAATCCTGCTGATATTTAGCCTGTTACAGCACAGAGCAGCGGGTCGCATGACCATGGAGGAGGTCATTCAGGAGCTTAGTGAACACTCAATTGGTAAGGCTGAGTCTCCTCCAGATGCTGCTGACACGGCCAGCCTGTTAGACACTGTGAAATCTGATACAACCAGCTCTCCTTTAAATGCATCAAGCGGCGCTTGTCCTGATAGTACGGATGTGTCAAGATCGCATATTGGCCATGACTCATGTGACGACGACGACCATGTTGGTGACTGCTCACACTGATGTAAACAGCCTGATGAAATGACAGAACACTCTCCTCGGAGACAAGAAAGCAATAACACTGAGAAAAATGACACACTTCAGACTCTGAAAGAAGCTTCCCCATTGCTGAAAGGTGCAACAAGTCACCAGGACATTGGTCAACTTGCCGGCCGTTGGATTTCGCAGTGACCCATGGCAAGCAAAGAGGAGCACGTTCCCCCTGTGTAGCTGTTACCATGGTTATGGGACAATGTACCAGTACAGATCACACTGACAATGATTCATGTGTGGTTGGGCAACCTGTAAGAATACCTTAGGGTCTGTTGAGAATGCCCAAGTAAAATAATAAAATACTACTATACAAAAAAATGTCACAATGAAGATGGTGACTGCTTTATACTGTAAAAAAACAGGCTGTTGAACTGAAAGAATTTTCGGTACTGCTGAAAAGCGTTGCTCAGTTCTCAGGATATTGACAAGCTTCTTGATCGTTTCGTGTCATGTTGGCCCACGGTAAGCGAAAGTACTCAAATTCCCTTTGCTGTTGCGGATATGGATTGCACTGGATGATGCAACCCGCCGTGTTGCAAACACGGTTTAAACTCACATTGCTTGAGTTTCCCGAGAGTTTTTGGTCGGCCACCATGTCAGAAACGGACTGTTTCTGAATAATGCCTTCTTCAATTTGGTGACACTTATACATGTACATGTATTAAAACTTTATAGAAGTTGCGACTTCGGCGGTAATAGTCATGAAGTTAATTGCTCCAACGAGGAACACACGCTTCGTGTGCTCCGGATGGCAGTCGTGATTCAGCCAAGTGTCAAGTTTGGCAAGAAACGCACGTTCCTCTTTGGAGCAATCAACTTCAGGACTATACATGTATTGTCAGTACAATCATGCTCATGATCTCACGTTGCTAGTTTTACCTGCCGATTGCACGCAAACGTCATGGATGTGGTATCTCAACATTGCATACAGTAGGATTAGTCACGCGGCACTGTTCACACACTGATCCGCAATAACAGACGTAATCGTAGTAAATTAAACATCATAAAATCCTCTGCTTATCAACTTATGATCTTTCCATTCCTTTTTCTTGCATGGAAGTTTCTTCATAACTATAGTCACACACATGCATGTAAGAAGGCATAGTTGCCTGTCTGTGATGCAACTTCAAGGATATAAGTACAACAACTTTGGAAGCCGCCACATATCTAAATTTTCGGTGCAGCTGAGACTGAGCCTGTTTGGGGAGTGGAAGCGTTTTATGACGAAGAAATGGGGCCGAGGTAGCAAGGGTAACAACATGTCCTGGTCTACAGCCGACTTCGTTAATAACGATGATGGATATAACGACAATTCGCGAATAACGACAGAATTGCAGTGCCCAGAGCAAAGTCCCATCTGCCTGTATGCCACACCCGTTAAACACTGGCAGCAGTCATAAACCCTGCGATGCCGACAGATCTCCTGGCTGAAATGCCATGCCGGCTAGCCGCTATGAAAGCCTATAATTATGATTCTGCTGCGGGTGTAAGCGTGTCGTGAAGTGCGTTTCCATTGCCGCTCTGTGTGTGTGTGTGTTTTCATTATTGCAGACAGCAGGCCACTGCCTGCGTGGTACGACCAGGCCAAGTTTGGCATCTTCATCCACTGGGGTATCTTCAGTGTGCCAAGCTGGAGCCATCACTTGGCAGAGTGGTACTACCAGTACCTTCTCACCGGTGAGCAACCTGCCAGTGTGACTACAGGAAAATACTTGAAGGAGGCACATAGCCAGGGTGTCAAGGGGGAGGGGTACATTTACACGATATGCCATAATACAAAGGTAGAAGAGAACAGAGACACCATTACAAGTGACAACAACAACAATGACCTAGCTGGCTGTCTCCGTTCTATTCTGCTTTTTTGGTGATGCTCCATCCTTGTGGTGTTGAGCACTCTAGGCAATCTGGGAACTCTCGCTATTGCAATACAGGTGGAATCCTGATAATTCGAATATGGCTTAATTCGAACATACCGCTTAATTAGAAGTTTTTCCAGGACCGATTTCTGTCAATACGATTCCCACATAAACTTTTCTGATAATTCGCACCTCGAACCGGACATTTTCAAATTTGCACTTCACGGAGAAGTTTTTAGGAAATTAGAGCCGGACATGTCCGGTTAATTCGAAGTTCCACGGATTCCACTTACCGTATTTCCGCGCATTTAAAGCCATGGCGTTATAGGTGAAACATCGCTGTTTTGGACCAAATTTTTGGAGAAAAAGGCCTCGGTTTTAACGCCATGGCGCTAAAAGTGAGAGACGCTTACATGCAAAAAAATCGGCAGAGTATGAACTTCGAGTACTCGTACAGTGCCGTTGCCCGTTCATGTCGAGCGTCCATGTACTTTCAATTTTCCCTGAAAATTTCAAATTGTGAACCTATTCTGTACAATGTGGCATACAAACTTCTGTGAAGGTGCGGTGGCGGTATGGCATGTGACAGTGGGGATGGGTACATGCAGAGAGAATCACCACTACTGTAGGTTCACTAAAAGAATTGAACTCACCTTTAACGCCGGATGCAACTTCCTCTACATTGAATTTTGTTCACTTATAACGCCATGTCGTTATAAGTGAGGGTGGCCTTATATTCGGATAAAACGCCATGGCTTTATATGCGCGGAAATACGGTACATAAAAAAATGTGTGGGATCTGTGCTGATAATTCGAAGTAAGCAAAGTGTAATTCGAAGGTCCCTGTACACTGTACTGGTCAGTTCAGTTTGCATGAGCAGGCTGTGCTGGTCAGTTCAGTATCCGTGAAATCTGTATCTAAGGTCCATAGCGCAACTCTGCGTGACCATGAGAGCATTTTGACATACATAATTATTGTGTTGCGGGTTCATGTTTGGATAATTAGAATGTCCGGATAATTAGAAGTTTTTCCTGGTATTTGGAGGTTCGAATTATCAGGATTCCACCTGTATACCAAAATACATACATAAAACATACATACGCATGCACAGACATATACAATCATGTACAAGAGGTTTTCAAGGCTATCAGCAGTCCGGGGGGGGGGGGGGGGGTTGTCCGCTCGCTCCGAAACCCCTTGGCCATGTGCCTGGCAAAGTAGAGCTTCAGCACACCATGTACAGTGGGTATCGGTGATAGCGTGGCTGTTTGAAAAAACGACTTTCTATTCTTATTTCCGATATTTCTTACACGCGATAAATCAAGTGTGACATATCGTGTGCATGTGCGCAGAGGCAGGAAGATCACCGTACATGCAATGTAGTGTTACGGTGCATGCGGCTGGTCATAGTCACATAGGCTTACCATGAGAGGATAGCTTGGTTGGAAAGAAGTTTGTGGACAACTTCTTAACCCGCTCCGACACAATCGCACGACGAATCGATGGTGATACCTTTATCACTGTCTTCACTACATCCACTAGCTCCACTGGTAACTCAATGGTTACCTGGGAGTATTTCCCTTTACGGGCTATACCATCACAAACGAGAGAGCTTGGAAGCTCAGGGCCCTACGCTATGCTTTTTTGCCTTGATGACCTAGACAAAAAAGCATAGGGATGTTATAAATTCTTATAAGCTTCTACTTTTTGTTTGAGACATAACCTGGGATTCGAACCCGCACTATCGCCCTGCATGCATCCCCCGATACACTTCGCATACATACTAATTCTTCCAAGTTGCTTCACGTAATGATCTTGTATTTGAAAGCCCTATTTGAATATGCATTGTGGCCAGCCGTCTTTGAATGTACGGTACGGTACGGGATATGTACGGGACAGGTACAGGGCAGGTACGGGACAGCTACGGGATAGGTACGGTCGAGGGTAATACGACACCGTCTACCGCCTTGATGACGGCAAAAAAAGAAAAGGGATGTTATACATTTTTCAATTCTCCTATTTTTTTAGGCATTACCTGGGATTAGAACCCGCACTATCGCCCCACATGCATTCCCCGATACACTTCGCATACATACTAATTCTTCTAAGTTGCTTCACGTAATGATCTTGTATTTGAAAGCCCTATTTGAATATGCATTGTGGCCAGCCGTCTTTGAATGTACGGTACGGTACGGGATATGTACGGGACAGGTACAGGACAGGTACGGGACAGGTACGGGATAGGTACGGTCGAGGGTAATACGACACCGTCTACCGCCTTGATGACGGCAAAAAAAGAAAAGGGATGTTATAAATTTTTCAATTCTCCTATTTTTTAGGCATTACCTGGGATTAGAACCCGCACTATCGCCCTACATGCATTCCCCCATACACTTCGCATTCATACTCATTCTTCCAAGTTGCTTCACGTTATGATCTTGCGTTTGAAAGCCCTATTTGAATATTGCGGCCAGCTGTATGTGGCCAACTGTGTTTGATGGTACGGTACGGAACAGATACGGGATAGCACCAGGCGTGACACAAACACACAAACAAACAAACACCAAAAGCTGTGTGGACCCTGGCTAGCGCCAGACGTTACTGAAGTAACGTCTTCTGCATAGCTACGGGAATAAAATTAATAATACGGATACCGTGCTGTCAGGATAGAAGAAAGTCGCACCTGGCGCAAGATCCGGATACGTACCCCCCCCCCCCTACCCTTGTGTCTCGTCTGGAGACCCTTCTCCACACCATCACGGATGAAAGTTTTTGGGAACGCGGACGAAAACATGTCCACAGGTTGAGCAGTTGCTAGAGAGTTAATTCGTTCAAAACTTGGAAGGGATAAGTGATACCGAGTGGAGGAAGGGATGAGGTTTTATAGCTAGCAGGTGAATGAGGATGGGCATCTGCGAGACAATAGGTAATGCCAGCTGGTCGGGTGGGCTCTAGTCACAACAGCTGCTTAGTCGGGTGGGTACTAGATGCAACAGCTGCTTAACGGCTTGGGACAACACCGTCGTGCACGTTCATTCCCACCCTACTCTATGGCAAAAGACGATTCGCCCATCATCTCGGTATGCATGCGTCTGCATTTTCCTCATCACGAGGTGAGCGAAATACCTACAAACCGCTTGAGACAATGCCGCCGTGCATGTTTGTGCATAGCCTACTCAATGGCAAACCGGACGGTTCGCCCATCTGTGTAGCGAGCCTTCAGATGGACGTAGTAGAACTCGTACATGAGCACCTTACTGAGATCGAGCACTGCATAGGTGGGCTTTGCAACGGCTGTGAGGATCACGTCTTCATCATCTTCGACTCTCAGCAGACGGATGTTCACTCTCCTCCTCACGTTCTCCATTGTCTTGTCGAAGACTGCATTGTTCATAAGTTTTAAAAAGTCGCGCTCAAAATCGTTGGCTGCATTCTTTCTCAGATCGGTGTTCAGCTCGATGTAGGGCTTCATCCATGCCGACTGATTGAATGATAACACTCGGTGCACGTTATCAATCTTCAGACCCAGCTTTACGTAGAGCTGTAGATTCCGATAGTGCAGGACGTAGCGTGTTTTTGGTAGCAGGTGATGTACCAGCTTCGCGGCTGCGAGTCCAGTGATGGGGGTGCTCTCCAGCAGATCCAGCTGATACGGAGAGAGCATGTGTTCGCCGATGCTGACCTTCTCCGGCGCTGGTGGGTAGTCGTTCAGAAGATCGTGAAGATGATCCGGTACCGAAAGATCGCACTCAACGATGTAGCCGTTTGACGCATCGCTAGGATGTTTGAGGATGTCGGCGAGAAGCTCACTGCTGGGGGCGCTCCATTCAAAGTCGGATACGGGTAGGTGTTGACACATAGCCCAACCGTACAAATTGTTCGCATCTAGGTACTGCAAGTACACTGTAGGTGGATGGCTTGCCTGCAATAGACCGATCCCCTTATTATTGTCTGGGTTCGAGCAAGGGGGCAACTCCGCAGTCGCGTGGGATCCTGCTAGCTGCACACGCGACCAACCTCACCTCGGCTGTGCGTGACTTCTCGCATGCGAAGTGCAGAGCACGCGAAATCTACATGCAGTGCAAGCCTAGCGCCTGTCTACAAAAAATGTCACAAGGACTTTTGATTTGAGCTGTTTTGTTTTTGTTTAGACGTCTTCCTTTTTACGACTTCAGGATGCCTTCTCAGGATCATTGCTGCGTTCCTCACTGTCAGAACAGGAGGACGAAGCAAACAAGTCATTTCACTCTTTTCGTCGTGTGGAGCCACAGCGGCCTGGAGCAAGCGGATCCAGGCAATGCCCCGTGAGGAAGGACGTAGTTTTAGGGTCTCTGAATATTTGAGTTGCAGCGATCATTTCGATCCCGAAATCGAAATCGTTTTGCCCAGCTCTACAAGGGCAGTATGAGTCCAGGAACCCAAACAGCTGTCCTACGGTACCAGGTTTGCTTTTCGCAAGAGAGTGGAGTCTGGACGCCCTGCTCCCCATGCTCGCAAAACAGTATTTGCTGAGCCTAGTGCAGTTCGGTCATGGTAGTGCAGCGTCTGCATCACGAGCTCCCCATGCTCCCAAACCTGTATTTTGCTGAGAGGCAACGGTACTTTGAGTTGGAAAGGAACCTGGCTTAGTGCAGTTTAGTCCTGTAATGGAAGTGCAGCATCTGCATCAGGAGCTGGCAGCAAGTAGAGCTCGTGTACAGAGTCTCGTGGAGCAGTTGGACGATGTGAGGACTGGGGTGAAGAAAGCCGAAAAACAGCTTACGTACAATAACATAAAGAAAGACTCTGAGCCGCTCCAGTTTCTGACTGGTTTGCCTTCA